CACATTCAGTTTGACTGCCGCGAGGGAAGATAAATTGACTGTCCCGACCGCAGCACAACGGCCCAAGCGGAGCGAGGGTGGATTTTAAAATAAAATACACAAAAAAAATTATATTAACGAAACCAGGTCGGCGGCGGCGGTGCGGAGCAGACGGTGAATGGGAGGGGCATGGGGGGTGGGCTTTAGTAAAGGGCAAAATGCCTTTGCAATCCCCGCTCTCGCCCCAACATCCATCTCCCGCTGGCGTGCCGCGATTATGAGGGCGGAAAGGGAGACGGGAATATGCTCCGGGAGGGAAGTGTTGCGTCCATTATTTGAGCGGGCGTCTCAAGGTGTGTGGCGAGGCCCGATAGCGGCGGTCAGGCCGGGGGAAGAATCTTGCCGTGCGATGCGCTTCCCTGTGCGAAAATGGGGGCGGCTGGGGGGGAGGGGCAGCAGTGTGTGTTGGAGGGAGGGAGGGGGGCCTGGGAGTGGGCCGATCTGTCATAGTCAATTAGGTTCCCACGGGCGTATTCAGGGCCTCTTTGTGGGTGGGACGGAGCGCGCCGGGCCGGGCCGGGTGGTGCAGAAAAAGATAGGGGCTGCTGTGGTGGCGGGCACGACGGGCAGGTGCAGTAGCGGCCCGGGTCCAGGGTCCGGGGGCGTGCCGCCAAACCAATCAGTTATCATCACCATCACGAGCTTGTTTAGCTTCTCATTTGTTGGCCGCTTTGGTACTTTCCGTAGCTGAAGTCTATTTTTTTTCCTGACACTCGTTTCCCTCCTCTCTCTTATTTGTGTTTCACTCTGTGGCCTGTGCTCGTGATGACTGTGCCAGTGTCTGTGCCGTGTACTCTTCGCTCGTGTCGGGTCGCGGGGCGCCCGACGGCAGGCAGTGTAGCCTCGCGCGATGCTCCGGCGGCGCGCGGGTTGCCTACTCGCGCGTTCGCAGGCGCCTTACTCGTGTGTGGGGGACTAACGTGTTGATCCATTCTTTTCCCGCAGTCTCTTGACGGCCAGAACATCTACAACTCGTGCTGCACGTTGCGCATCGAGTACTCCAAGCTCAGCAACCTCAACGTCAAGTACAACAACGACAAGAGCAGAGACTACACCAACCCGGGGCTGCCCACTGGTGACGCGGGCATGGAGATGGGCTCGATGGGTGCGCTCGGGCCCCTGGGACTGGGCATGGCCGGCCTAGGAGGTTAGTACCAAAGAGACATTTCCGGAGCGGAATCTAAATCCTAGCAGAAATAAACGGAAACACTGACGTTTTCGTTGTTATTTTGTTTCGCTAATAATCACTGAATCAATTTATCTCGGCAGTAATGACTGATAGGATATCTATCCCTTTGTCCGGCATCCTACAGTAATAAACCGTCATTATTGCTGGGATTATTGCAACGGCTGGATTTTAATTTTTCTGTGACAGTACTCCCCTACATATACTTCGGACGAAAGTTTGTCAAAGTTAGCTGAGAGGTCCCATAAAGTGATGCTATGCCATTTTGTTAAGAGCCGCGAGCGTGAGCATTTGAGATATTCAAATTGGCGAGGCCCAGTGCTTCGCTTGCACTATGCTAAAGAGTATGAAGCGGCAGGGGGAGCCGTGCCCCCTGCCCCTCTCCCCCCTCAGTTTTGGCCTGCGTCTTCTCCTCTTTTGTTTGTGTCCCTTTTGTCCCTTTGTTTTTTTCTTCTTCCCTAAGGCGTTTTCTTCCCACGTTGCTATTGCGGAGGGGTGGAAAGAATTGAAAAGCGACTTGATTTCGTGCAAATATTTCCCCTTGCGCAACCTTTAGGAGTGGGTAACAACCAAGCGAGATGGTTCTCCTGGTTCTTCTCCTCCCCCCTCGCCCCGTCCCACTGGCCCGGTGTACTCACCTCGGTGTGTTCTTCCAGCAGGTGCAGCGGGCGTGCTGGCCTCGCCCTTCGCCGCCATGCACGGCTTGGGGTCCCCGCTGACGGGGCCGTACGGCAATTCCGCTGTTGGAGGTAAGGTGCAAGACAGGGTGGGGAGGGCAGCCAGCGTGGGGTAGTGCCTGCATTAACCTGAAGACGTCTCATGTGTATGGAAAGTCTCCAGGCTGCTGTTTGGCGGGAGGTTTCAAACGGCCCATTTCCCCCTCGACAGGTCCGGGCCATCGACACTAACGCGCACCTACTTTTGTTCCAGCAGCAGCCGCCGGCATGCCTTTGGCAGGATTCTCCCTCCCTGGCGCAGCCAACGCCCTGGGTGCCGCGGGTCTGCGGTTAACCGGCCAGCCCGGTGGCTCCTGCGTCCTCCTCGTCAGCAACTTGAATGAGGAGGTACGTACTAAGCGGTTTCAGGGCGTGCCCACCTGCGTCTTCAGACATTTGGATAAAACCGGATCATGACAGGAGGAGACGCACCGCAACGTTTTCCTCCAATTCCCGGTTGGGCGTTAGTCGCACCAATGTGCGCTGTATGTGCATAGCAAAAACCCACATCTGTGATTTATTTTTAT